TCACTACAGTAACTCCTCACTTTAAAAGGGGAGGGATAGCTCAGTGGTTTGAGCATTGGCCTGTGAAACCCAGGGTTGTGAGTTCAATCCTTGAGGGGGCCACTTAGGGATCTGGGGCAAAAATCAGTACTTGGTCCTGCTAGTGAAGGCAGGGGGCTGGACTTGATGACCTTTCGAGGTCCCTTCCAGCTCTATGAGATAGAGAGAGAGATACCTCTCTCTCTCTCTATATATATATATATAAAACGTTGTCCTGGTTAACATCGTTTTGTCGCTGATCTATTAGAGAACATGCGCGTTTAAAGTAGCGCAATGCTCCCTTATAACGTTGTTTGGCAGCTGCCTGCTTTGTCCACTGCTTGCAGAAAGAGCAGCCTGTTGGAGCTAGCTGGTGGGGGCTTGGAACCAGAGTGGGCTGGCAGCCCCGGTCCCCTAAGTTCCCTGTGCAGCTGCCTCCCAGCAGGCTATCAATTGCCAGGCAGTTCAGGTGTTCCTCCCACAAGTGCCGTGTGCTACTCCTGCCCTCTGCCTTGGAGTTGCTCCCGGGACCTTGCTGTGCAGGGTGTGGGGAGGAAGAGGAGTGCTGATGTCAGGGTGTCCTCCTCCCCCTGCTCCTGCACCCCATCTCCACAGAGCAGGGGGTACACGACAGGACTCAGGACGGAGGGAGCTTGCTGGCAGCAGCTGCTGTCTCAACTTGCTGATCTACTTAAAAAGGCAGTGTACTTAGAGTGGGGTCAGCGTACTTAAAGGGGCAATGCACGTCTGTCTCACACACACATGCACCCCCCAGCACTTTGGAAAGTGGAGGGAGTGGTGCGCTCCAGTGGGATAGCGTGGGTTCATCATCACGTTCAGTTTCTGCAGGGAATGTTTGCAGCCACTGCCAAGCCTCTGTTGTGTCTCCTCCATTCCTGCTGCCTTGTAGAGTGAGGCTACATTAACAACAATATGTTAACCCTTGAGGGCTCAGCCAAGTGCTAGTTAATCATTTCGCAGCAAGGCATTCCCTGGGAAATATCCCACCCACTGACTCCACCACCTCAACCAAGCTTCACAAGCATCATTACTGTGTACAGTATTAAATTGTTTGTTTAAAACTTATACTGTGTGTGTACATTATATATATATATATATATACATACACACACACACACACACACACACACATACAGTATTTTGTCTGGTGAAAAAAATTTCCCTGGAACCTAACTCCCCCATTTACATTAATTCTATGGGGAAACTGGATTCACTTAACATCGTTTTGCTTAAAGTAGCATTTTTCAGGAACATAACTACACCGTTAAGCGAGGAGTTTCTGTACTCAGATGGGAGCTCTCTATGGAAAATGGAGGTGCTGCAGAAAGTGGTGCTGGCGATTCACCAACTTTCCTTCAAGATGGTACCAAAGCAATATCCCAACATGTTAGGGGGCGCTGTGGTACTAAGGTGTCATATCAGACTAGACAAAGGCTCTGACTGCTCACTATCCCTGAAGGCTCCCTGGGTACTGTTGGCAAGAGCAGAGAGGCTCATTCTGGTGTCTTGGCTACATTCCAGCTCAGGCAATTATATTCTGCCTTACTGCAGTTTCACCAGGATACAGTTTTCTCCACTCCCTCACCTAAGCTGTTGTGTAATGTTGCTGTGCACTGTTTAACTTCTTCCCTGGGCAAAGCGATTTGTATTGAACCTGAATTAGTCTTGGTATGTTATAGATGCCAGATCATTCCCTCTGTAATGGTTACAATCTTGTTTGAAAGAAGATAAAGCGGAAATGAGTTTCTAATTCTCACCTGCTCATACAATTGCCAGATGTTAAGAAGGCAACACATTATGTCCAGACTATGCAGGCCCACCATCTAGAAATTGCAGCTCAGGTCTCTGCCCGTCTGTACCCCAAGTCCAGACTTAACTCCTATTTATTTCCTGGAATAAACTGAATTAGCCCTACTAACCGTGTGTTCACTCTCTGCATCCAGGGCACTTGTGGCTTCATCTAGGATTAGGACTGGGGGGGCTCGGATTAAAGCCCTTGCAATAGCCACTCTCTGCTTCTGGCCACCAGACAGCTGGGCTCCTTTTTCACCAGCTTCTGTTGGATGAAAGGTGGGGGGGGGAAATGAGACAAAAAAATCAAGATGTATCATTGGATTCAGATTTCTTTCAGTACACCCCCGTGAGGTAAGGTAGTGCGATTTTCCCTATGGGGAACTAAGTTGCAGAGAGAGTCAGAGATTCCAAGACCAGATGGAACTACTGTGATCATCTACCTCCTGTATAACACAGGTCAGAGAACTTCCCCAAAGTAACTCCTAGAGCAGATCTTTTAGTAGTAACATCCAATCTTGCTTAAAAATAGTCAGTGAAGCAGAATCCACCATGACACTTGATAAACTGTTCCAATGGTTAGTTACCCTAAGGCTAAGTGACTTGCCCAAAGTGACATAGGAAGTCAGTGGCAGAGCAGGGAATTGAACTGCAGTCTCCCAAGTCCTAGGCTAGTGCCCTAATGTGCCTCATCCCTACGCTGAAAGGACTGCATCAAGGGAACTGGGGGGTGGGTGGAGTCATTCAATCTCGATGGCCTGAGCCTCTTCAGTCCTTGGCACCTCTTCCCAGACTGCAAACAGGGACACTAAGGATACATCTACACAGTGAGCAGCAGTGAGTCCTCCAAGCCCAGGATGACAAGCTCAGACTCACAGCGCTTGCGCTACCGTGCTAAAAATAATTGTGTTGATATTGCGTCTCCGGCTGGAGCTCAGGCTCTGAAGCGCATCCCCCTCTCTCGGCTTCAAAGCCCAGGCTTCAGCCTGAGGTGCAACCGTGTCGCAGCAGCACAAGTCCCGTGAGCTCCAGTCTGTTGTCCCTGGCTTGGAGGCTCACTGCCATGGGCTGTGTAGCGGTACCCTTTGTGTCAATCGTTGTGTGTGTGTGTGTGTGTGTGTGATATACACACTAGAGCCCTGGAAACTGAACTGAGACCCACCATTCACGTAAACCACCAAACTGCTAGATGGAGAATGAAGGGCCCAAGGTTCTTTAGCTGTTTTCCCTCCCTCACTTCCAGAATATTTATTAATAGGCTTTGGATACAGATCAACTTTCCCTGTTCGATATTTTGTATTATTTCCCCTACCCTGAAAACAGGAACCAAAAGTATTTTGGTACAAGAAGAGATGCATGTTCTAGTCTTCCAGAAGCTATTCTAACTGTGCCCTCCTCAGAAATGCTGGCCTGGGATTTTTAAGGTCAATACTCCTCAATAAGGGCCTGATACAAAGCCCACCGAACTCAATGGGAGTCTTTCAGGCCCTAAGTTACCAAAATAACCCTGTGCCTTATGGTAGCCATACCCTTAAAGGAATGCTATAACCGCTCTCTCCAGCAGTGAATCACCACAGTCAACCCGGCATTTTAGGGGATTGACATATGCTACAGTGATTCCAAGAGCCCTTGCTCTTAGGATGAGAAATGCTACACGAGACTGGAAGATCAACTATACAAAATCTTCACTGACCAGTTCTTCAAAGGAAACCTCAGCACTGAAAGGTAGCGCCAGTTATTGCTACTTCTGCACATTTACATATACTGTCGGTTACGTGTGCTCTCTCCCCTAGAGACTCATTCTGCAGATCTTTCAGTGAAGAGAGACGAGAGGGGAAACTGAAACATTTCGGTTGCATCATATAAGCCATTTGTCCCCATGCAAAGTGCTTCTGTCACCAACACATCAGCTCTTGTTCCTGCAGACTGATTGTCATTTTATTTTCTTGGTAAGCAGGAGCAGGTTGGTTTATGCCTCACTGCTCAGTTTTATTGCTATTGAGTTGCTGAGAGAATAAGCGCACTGAAAAACTAAGACATACAGGGTGTGTTCCGTCCAGGACCTGGCGCTGGATAAACTACGAGTTAGGGATCCAGAGCCCAATCCTGTTCCCGCGGAAAGCTGACTTAAAGCCTCCTGTTAGCCACATAACAAATATATCAGGGGCAACAATAGCACAGAGTTCCACGTAAAGCCCAACCAGGTGCCACAGCCCTGACTTGGAGAAACCACCTCTGTGGGGAGAAGATAGTTCAGTCTCCGTAGCTCATTCAGTCCTTGGCCTCTCTAATGAGTCTGTCAATAAGGGTGGGTGGGGAGGGGGAGGAACTGAGACCAAACTAAGTTCACACACAGTAAGCCATGGAACATAAGAAACATAAGAATGGCCACACTGGGTCAGACCAATGGTCCACCTAGCCCAGTAGCCTGCCAACACTGGGTGATGCCAGTGGGAATGAACAGAACAAGGCAATTATTGAGTCATCCATCCTGTCAGCCAGTCCCAATATTTGTCAGTCAGAGGCCATCTTGGCCAACAACCATCAACTGCCAGTGAGTTCTGGTCACTGCTAACATGAGCTGAATTTAATCCCTTAACCTGAGAGGACTGGCTCTGTATGTTACCACCAATCTCCAAGAAGTGTTTTGGATATTTAAGTGCCATGCTTCTGCTGCAACTGAAGCAAACAAAATGGTCCGTATTACCTGTATTGTAGCCATCTTGCAACTCTGTGATAAACGCATGTGCATTGGCCTTCTGAGCAGCTTGGACAACTGACTCGAATGAGACTGAAGTTAAACCGTATGAAATATTTTCCGCAATAGATCGAGCAAACAACACTGGCTCTTGGCTCACCAAAGAGATCTGCAGAAAGGAAGGGAAGAGGCAGTCAGAACCAAAACAGAACAGTCACAGTTTAATGATTACAGTCCTCTTGCCGATTATAATAATTGGTTCCAGTTGGTTTGAGAGTGTAGATGGCAGAGTTCCACCATTAAACCTAGACCCAAAGTGCCTAAACCAGAGAGGATTTCAGCGAGGGTACTAATTACACTCTGTTGTAGGCTGCCCGTGTGAACAAGGCAGCTGTGCCCTCAGAAGGAGCTCTTAGCTGACTCATGGAAGCTGCAGGGCATTAGTCTGCACTGAACCACATTTTGCCAGATGTACCTGGTATTTTAGTGTGGGGAAGTGATTACGCACCACCTTCATACTGAACCAAGAAACGAAACTGACGACACTGTAGGAGCGAAGGGAAATAACACCTTCTAGTGCTTTGTGGTTTCTGCTCTGTTTTAAAGTGCAGCTCTTGGAGAACAAAAGTTAATCTGGTCTGTTTATCTCAGGGTATTACCCTATTAAGCACTGCAGCAATGGGACAAAACCCTGCAGCTTCCACTAGTGATATCGTTGCATTTTGGTTGTAACACTGCAAGCTCAGGGCTGTCATTTCTTATAGTCCACCAGGCAGTAACACGAAACCAGTCCCAGTGCTGGCAACATGTGTCAGTCAGACTAGAGAGAGCCTCCTGCTTAGTCTATCCGGTCACCATGGTTAGGCATCTTGAACACACCATGGAGATCGCCATCGGTGCTGGCTGCAGCAACAGCCTAGCAACCAACACAATTAACTCATGTCCAAAACCATTTACGTCACTAGAAGCATGAAGTCAGTATAAAGTGCTCCAGGCTTATAGAAGACAGTGCACTGGTGGGGCGTCTGAGAATTAGACCGTTCAGCCACACAGCCCTATTGGCTCTGCGTCATTTTTCAATCCCAAAATTAGAAAGTTAGAGAGCTGTCATTTTTGATTTCCTAAACAATGCCTTCTCCTTCCCACCCTGAAAGCAACCACTTCAAACTGCAGTTTATAACCCTCTTCTGTAAACTCTCTTACATTTTAAAAATCAAATTTTCCAAACTCTTTCTCACAAATTCATATGTAGAGCAACAGCAGATATTAAAAGCATATACAACAAACATTAACAGCCTTATTTGTGTTACTGACACCACAACATCAGGCTATTTAAATGGAAAGGATTTTAAAAAATTTACTAATTTACTTTTCACCATTTATGCCACTGTTTATTTTTTAAATTTCTCTTGTCATGGACAAAGACTAGTCAATTTCATTTTTGGTTTAGAGTCAGTTTCTAATCCCTTATGTTTTCAGGTTCTCATGCAGAAGCTTAATGTTGTGTATTCTGGGTTGTAACCACTGCAGAGGAATGTTTATTTGTGTAAGAAATGAAGCCTGCAGACTTCCAGTGTCATCTTGGGCAAGTCACTTAACCTTTCTGTCTCTTGGCTTCGCCGATGGGGATCATATACGTCACAGGGGTGTTGGAAGATTTAACTAATTAATATTCGTAAAGTGCATGGAGATCCTTGGATAGAAGGTGCTGTAGAAGTGCAAAGTATTTAAAAAAACCTGGTTTATACTAGAATTTTTAAAAACACCCAAACAATCACGGACATGGTTCTACTTGTCTTAGGCTGAACTAGTCAAAACAAAGACAATTTTGGGGTGAAATTTTTTGGGGGGGAAAAGTGCATTTCTTCCTCTTCTTCCTCCCCACTCCCCCATCAAAAAAATTGATTATTTTTTTTAACCAGCTCTAGACTCAGGCATTGAGGAAACATTTTAGAAAGAGCTAAATTAAATGTTGGGCCCAAATTTGACCAGACAGTATCCCCTGAATGATCTAAAATGCTTTGCTCCATGGCAGATTAGAGCTATAATAGGTTTATGAATAACTCGTACCACTGAGTGCAGGTACTTGTGATCATACATGTTAATAGGCTGCCCGTCCAGCAGGACCTGCCCATCTTGAAGAGGGTAGAAATTCTCCAGAATATTGACGCAGGAGCTCTTCCCACTGCCCGAAGGACCCACGAGTGCAGTCACTTTGCCAGGATAGAGGGTGAAGGACACATTCTGTAAACGTAAGAGGTGAGTGAGTGATAGCCTGTGTACCCGGCCTTTTATAGCATCCATGTGTCTGATCTGCAGAGAGTACACTAGAAAAGGCAGCTGAAACAGAGTGAAAACAGTGATCAGGGTTTTCTTTAGTGCTGCTGTCCTACCACTGGTTGATTGGCTGCCTCCAGCTTCAATGCCAGGTGATGAGCATCTATGAGCTCCCACTAGATAATCTCCCAGTGCTGTATCATCATCTTCCACCTCACTCCTCCCCTCCTCCACAACAAGCAGGTGGGCCCAACATCTTTTCTTCAAACTCACCTGTTCATAGAACAGGCATGTCCAAAAGCCAGGAGAGAGACTGCAGATCACACCCCTTTCCTCTGCTACTCTGACCCAACTTAACTTGGAAATGGTCAGTGGCCTCTCTCCAGTCCCCAGTGGTCTGGTGGCCACATCATAAAAGGCACAACCACAACTGGCAACTTTGTTGGTCGTCTCACTAGAGAAGCTGAGGGCTGAATGGGCTAGATCTAGAGGGTCAGGATTGAGGCCCACTGGCACCGGGCAGCATGGGGAGGCTTTCTCTGCTGTCCCTGTGCTACACCTGTCCTGTGCTCAGTCTCAAAGGCTGGCAGTCCAGCAATGCCCTGGTACCCATCCTCTCATCTCACCCCTGCTCTTTTTGATTTAATGGGCAGATCCTTTTTCAGGGCCCTCCCTCCACCTACTGGAGATCGAACAGGCCAACAGCTTTCACTAGCACGACACAAAACAGAACATGCCCGCAGTTGCACAAAACACCACTACCACAAATGGGCAGCTCTACATATCCTGCTCTCAGTTTTCCTCCAGTGTTATATATATATATATATATATATATATATAAC